AAGTTTGAATCCATACTTTTCCTTTGTGGATCCACGTTCCATCTTCGTGAGCAGACATCTTGACTCTCATAGTTCCCAGGCTGCTCTCCTCGGCCACCTCCGCTGGAGAACCTGGTAGCTGCGGAAACATTACTTTGGCCTTTTCCATGGCTTTGTTTTCCTCGTCGTTCTTGGTGATAAAGACTGCCACGTCTTCTGTGATTACAGAGATGTCTCCTTCTTTTACTATGGTCCTCGTGAAGACCTCCTTCGGTCAATCTTCATTTAGAAACTCTATTGTTTCCTTCTCGTCCTTACATGTTGCCATCTGGTCCGCGATAGCGTCTATCCTTCTTTTAATGGCTTCTGGGTTCTCTAGATCCACTTGAACCACCATTGTCACCATCTTCTTAACTTTCGTGGATTCCATGTTAATCTGCACGCCTGTAGATGTCATGTATACAGACTTCCTTGGTGCCTCTTCTTCCTTATTTTCCTCCACTTCCTCGATATAATTGAGCATGCGATTTCTCAGGATGTCGACCTCCCTCTTTATGGATAGCCTTGTATATGGCACCTTCCTCTTGAATTTTTCGAGTTTCGCTACGCTGTCCTGGAGAAGCTTTACCTTTGATCTAGCTTTGTTGTTCAGTGGCTGTCCCTCTTCCTCCGAACTGGTCGTTTCTGTCCTGTTGCTTGGGTTTCTTTGTCTTAACCTCCGCTTTTTCCATTCATCGTCAGAGTTGCTTCCGCTATCCGAGCTGCTTGCTTCTTCTTCTTCCTTTCTTTCGGTTTCTTTCCTTGGGATATCCTTTCTTATTTTATTTTTTGCGTCCTTCTGCCTGTTTTCTCCTCCCTCTTCCTCATTTTCTCTTGCCTTTATTTCGTTCTCTCTCTTGGTTTGCTGTTTCTCTCTTCCTTTACTATCCTTTACGCTACTTCTGCTTGCGCTATTTCTAGCTCCGTTTTTTTTTTCACTTCTGTCCTCCAGCTTTTTTTCTCTTGAGTTTCTCTCTCTTCTTCTTCTTCTTCTCTCTTCTCTTCTCTCTTCCGTCTTTTTATTTTTCCTTTTTCTTATCTTTCTTTCGAGTTGGGACGTGCTGATCGAGGACCTGTTGATAACAGGTTATCAACAGGTCCTCGTAGCCACTTCGTCTCAGGACCATTTTACTCATGTAGAGTCATACGCCGCCATGTTACCTATCCAACGGTAACTTAACCATCACACATTAGAAATACTAATAATGTAAAACAATTTCAAATTTATAACATTTAAAGGGTTTTTACCCATATATTTTGGTGGCTACTAGCATGTACAACCGTTTGCACTGATGATGGATTGTTTGATCCGAAAACGTTTTGCAATGTGTTTGTGATAGCCCGTTTGAGGCATTTTTATATACCTTTTATAAAGGATTTTAACTAAATTTTTTTTTGATTTATCTAATATTTTTAAATCGGCATAAGCACAATTTTAATTGAAAATACGTTCATTTTGACTTTTAGATTTAAATTAAACTGGTTAGTTTTTCATTTATAATAGTAGATAATTGTTTAGTTATATTAAGTACCCATATTAAGTTTTTTTCTAAATTGTATCCGCTCTTTTCATACACGCCATACGATAATAAATCTTTATCTTTTAGTTTTCATTGAATGGTCGATATTGTGGTTGACTTTTTGAAATTGTAGATCGTTTCGATCGTTCCAGCTTTCAATCTAGATACATATTCTCGTAGCATCATCCATTTTTACCATTAGCTCCACAGTCAAGTTGGGTATTGGACTGTTTAATTAATATTCTTCATTCATTCCAATCTCTAGCTTTCCTTCTCCAGTCAATAGTTTCGCGTTCGCCCAGATCCTCTTCTGCTTGGTCCATATATCGTATTTTTAGCCGTCCTGTGGATTGTTTTCTCACCATTTGTTGTTGGATTAGGATTCTTGCTGGTCCAGAAGGTTCCATACCCTTCATATGACCCATATATCTCAGTCCTCCAAGCTCAATCAAGCTTTACCACATTAGGTTCTTGTAAGCTTGGTTGTAACGAATAAAATGGTTAAAAACACTAAAAATGCGTTACTCTAAAGATATTTGACCATTAGTGAACTATTTTTGTGAAACTAAAGAGAATTGGCAAAAGAAATATAGGAAAACTGATACAACAAAATATGTTTTGTACGAAAATGGGTTATAAATCTGATAGAATACATGTGTCTGATAAAAGTGTGCTAAACTCTCACCATATTCGTTGGATTAGGTATTACGTAATTTTTATGCTTACTCACAAGGGTAAATCTGCGGTAATTGGAAAAATTGCATATACACTAAAGGAATAATAAATTTAAAATAGATGATAGGTTAAGAATAATGTCTACAGCGTTAGTATGGTCATGATTAATTGTTTTTCGGGTTTATAGACCGTGGTTGGAATTATTTTGTTCCTAACTTTCTTGACATTTCAAAGGCTATGCAACAAAGGTAATTGTCCTCTGGGAAATGAGGAAGACTGTTACGACCATTGCCTCATCGTCTTTGATAATATCTATCGGAAGTCGCAAATGAATTGCCAGGACGAAATGATTCCAGACTACGGCCAGTACTATCGCTAAAACAATTTATCATTACAAAACATCGGCTGTGAAAATCTACGCTCCTTTATTAGTGTCGATAGTTTCTACGCATGTCACATTTCTCCATGTAACTTGTTTTCCTTAAAATAATGTAATAACACATGTTTTAGGTGGCTGTGTGGAACGAAGTAGAAGGTAACCCGAAACTTATAACGGCAGCGAACTTCTGCCAGAACGGAAAATTCGCTGTCGTTGGCACTTACGACGGTCGCTGCATATTCTACATAACCGATCAACTGAAGTACCACACGCAGATTCACGTCCGTTCCTCTAGAGGCCGAAATGCTGTTGGTCGAAAGATTAGCGGAATAGAACCGATGCCGGGAGAAGACAAAATCCTAGTAACGTCGAACGATAGTAGAATTAGATTGTATGACCTTAGAGACCTCAACGTTTCTTGCAAATACAAGGGCTACGTTAACATGAGCAGTCAGATCAAAGCGAGCTTCAGCCACGACGGGAAATATATCGTGAGTGGATCTGAAAATAGGGATATTTATATTTGGAAGACCAATCACGATTACTCGAAGTTTTCGTCGGTTAGGCGAGACAGAAACGATTTTTGGGAGGCAATTAAAGCTCATAACGCTACGGTGACTTGCGCTATCTTTGCCCCAAATCCAGAGGCGATCATCAAGATGATGGAGGAAAACCAAAGAAGGGTAATCGAGGAGGAGGAGGGTGAAAATAAGGTATGACAAAGAAAATATTTATTCTATAAATACTATAAAAGCGGATATCTGCTTATATGCAGATTGAGCTTGGTGTAGTTTTGTATGTATTTTGCGGTTAATAACATGCAGACTCTGAGATATCTTCTCAGTTAATCGACGATTGCTAATTTGTCGGAATATTCAGTTGAAGCCGAAGTGTCTTTTGGTCTGTAGATATTTCTTTCAAGTAAACTGTTGATCAAGATGGAGGATAAGTTGTTTTATGTCTGTTATTGACATACAGATCCTATGTTATATTCGCATAAGTTACGTCGATAGGAGTCAAATGCAATGGGCATCCACACTACTGGCGACGACATACCGTGTTGCGAATGCTGGCGTTCTCAACCTATCTCTCTTTCTTTCTCTCTCTCACTCTCTCGCGTCCTCTCTCGCTCTCGCTCTCTCTCTCTCGCTCGCTCTCTCTCTTTGTCTCCTTTTCTCTCTATCTCTTTCTCTCTCGCGCTCTCTCTCGCGTCCTCTCTCGCTCTCTCTGTCTCTCTCTTTCTCTGTCTCTTTCTCTCTGTCTCTCTCTCTGTATCTTTCTCTCTGTCTGTCTCTCTCTTTGTATCTTTCTCTCTGTCTGTCTCTGTCTCTCTCGCTGTCTTACCCTGTTGCTCTCTCTCTCTCGCTGTCTTACCCTGTTGCTCTCTCTCTCTCTCTCTCTGTCTCTCTCTCTCTCTGTCTTTCTCTGTCTCTCTCTCTCTCGCTTTGTCTCTCTCTCTCACCTTTTCCGGTCTTCATTCTTACTACATGACCAGCCCATCGAAGTCTCTGAAGTTTAACGAATTCTGAGATCGGTGCCTCTTTGAACAGTTGGAACTTTAAGTTCATGGTTGTGACTGGATCTCAATACTCCGTTAATAGGTTCAAATATCTTTCTTGGAACTTTTCGTTCGAAGACTTATAGCTTTCGTTTTGTGTCTTCTGTCATCACCCATGTCTGGCATCCGAAACATACTATTGGTCTGATAATAGTTTTGCAGACCCTGATTTTGGATCTCCCTTGTGTGTTTTTGGAGCGCAATTCATGGGCGAGTGAAAAGTAACCTTTTTTTCCCTTTTACTATTCTTCTTTGAGTTTCTAGTTCTTCTGTTCCATCCGTGTTTAATATAACTCCCAGACATGTAAAACTTTCTACAGTTTCAATATCGTCCTCTAATTCAACTGTGCGTCTGTTTCTTCTAGCTCTTGCCTGTGACAGTTTTTTTTCTGTTGAATACTTATTTCTAGTTTGGTCTCTTCTGCCCCTGTTTTTAATTCACATATGTCTGCTGCCCCTTCTGTTCTGCGAGATATAATGCTAATGTCATCGGCATGGGCGGCAATCTGTATTGATTTATTTGTTAGGACATTATCATTTCTAGGAGGAGTTAGGTTGAATAATGTCGGTACCAGCTCGTCTCCTTGTTTTAATTCTTTGACTATTGAAAAGTTCTTAATGAGCTCATTTTGTACTCTGACAGTTGTTGTTCACGAATCCATTGTTGCTTTTACTATACTACGTTCCACGTTTAGAAAATAACATTGCGGAGATAGGGCCATGTATTTCTTATGGACGATAGAAACGCGGCGTTGCCACGACACACAAGCACAATTTAGGGTTGTATAATTTGTATTTTCGTTTCCACAAACATGAATTAAATTAATGTTTTTTAACCCAATTGACCAAAAGTGCCCATTCGAAACAAGAGATGAAAAGTAGAGAAAATGATTTTAATTAGATAAATAGTATTTACAAAAGATAACTTTATTTTATCTTATTTTAATTATAGTAACGACAGTTTATTTGTTTTTCGGTGAGAATACGATATGCCATGAATCATAGAAATCAGTAGAAAATATTGACCGCTTGGAATGCGTATATCTAATTACTAATTGCAACTTAAAATAATACGATGTGCGTATGTCAGCTATTTTATGTCGTTCTCTGACTAATAAAGGCTTTTATTTAGTAATTATTCTGATTTTACAGTTAAATGTTAATTGAAAATAAAAATTCAAAAATTAAGCAAAGGGAATATCTTGGACATCCGTGCAAAAGAGAGTGTCTGAGAGTTTTGGCAACACTGATCTCCATAAGCGTAATGTTATTTTCTTAACTTGAAACAAAGAATAGTAGGATGTATTTTTGGGGGATGCTAAAGCTATGCAATATTTGATATAACTTTTGTCTATTAATTGAGTCGTAAGCCTATTTGCAATCTATGAATATGTTGTGGACGTCAATGTCGTATCCCCACGATTTGTTTAGAATTTGTTTCACTGTAAATAGCTGATCAGTTGATAATTTTCTTTGTCGGAAGCCGGTTTAATATTCCCCGACAATATTTTCAGGAAGTTGTTGGGGTCGTTTATTTAGTATCCAATTATACAATTTTGCACGCTGTTCACAAAAGGGTTATGCCGCGATAATTTTCACATTTCAGTTTATCCCCTTTTTTATAGATTGGGCATATAATCCGGATTTTCCAGTCGCTAGGGATCTTTTTCCATTTATAAATCTTGTTCATAAGCAAATACATTTGTCTTACTAGGTGTTATCCATACCTGGAGCCTTGTTATTCTTCTGTGCTCGTATAACTTGTTTTACCTCTTCCATCGTCGGTTCTATATTTTCTGGGTATCTCTCAATGTGATGCATGTCCATATGCTCTTCATTTTCTTGCTGATCTGGAAGAGTTTGGAAATAGGTTTTCCAGGCTGATTTTATTTCCTTTGGGTCACTGGTTATTTCCCCTTTTTTGATTTCGGCATAGATTTTTTCGGGATTTGTATTCTTCTCTTAAATTGCATAGATATGTATACGCTTCCCTTCTATCGTTGCTTTGGAGATTTTCTTCCATTTTCTGTATATTACCGTTCTCGTATCTTCTTCTCTGTTCGGCATATTTTATCGGCCCTCCATTTTGCATCTTCGTAGCTTGCTCTTCCTTCCATATATTTCTTGTGTTTTCTTTGTGTCGCCTTTTTCTTCAAATGGCAATATTCTTCGGTGCCTAGACTGCCCATACTTGTGTTTGCGATATTTCTGTCTCATAGTTCTGTTTGATATTTTGTCGTCTCAATTTTTGTATATCTAATTGTTTTGTTGTTTGTTCCTGTCTGTCCCTCCTGTTTGTTTGAATTCTACATCTGTATTTTATCTGTACAAGGGGATGTTTAGATCCGCAGCATACTCCTCTTCGGCTCTTTACATCTTGTATACTCCAGTTTTTAGGCGCCAGAAACCTCTCACCCCCTCTCGTCTGCTACATATAGCGCACAATCATTGTACGCCATGCACCCAATGGCTACGTGGCAAAAACCTTCAGGGACGTGAGAGTAGGATTTATGGGCAGAGGCTGATTTCTATTTCTAGAACCACCCACCACTCTTCCGTCGGAAACAGTGGACATTACTCTGAGTTTTGTTACAGTATGATTATCGGCAACCCATACTGCCTCCAAGATCCGAGATACGGGTTGTAGCTTTTCCTTTACCTTGCCTTGGAACGCAGAGGGTTTTAGGTCGTGCAACAGTGCCAGGTTATTTTGTTCAAACCAATCTTCCTCAATTTCTCCATTTCAGTCACTTGACGTATAGCCTCAATGGATATTATGGCTATTGAGATTCCCCGGATCTATGTGTGTGATACAATAGTTAATTAAAATTGATTAAATTGACTATATTCTTCTTAATTTTGAACTTTTTTTCTTAGAATTTCGTTTGATTTTATAACTTTTGTGATACCCAATTTTCATAGATATTCTTCATCTTTTTATATAGACATGACTCTGTCTGTTTTTCAATGTGCCTTCAGTAAGTTGTCATTCCATCGTTTTCGTGGTCTTCCTGCAGATCGTCTTCCTATTGGGGAACCGTCTCTTGCCGCCTTTACTACTATATTTGTTGTCATTTGGCTAGCATAATGATCGTTCCATTCTACTCTTCTATTTCTTACCCAGTTTTTGATGTTCTTCACCTTGCATCTACGTCATATATCTGTACTTCTAGCTCTATCCCATAGTGTCTTACCATCAATTTTTCAATGTTTTCATCTATGCTATTTCTAACATCCTTTTTGTCCTCTCTGTGGCAGGTCTTGTTTTTGCCGCGTATGTCATTATTGGTCTGATAACTGTTTTGTAAATTATGCCTTTCGTTTCTTTCCCGATATTTTTATTTCTTCGTATTGTTTCAATTAGGCAGCCTGCGGCTCTGTTTGCTCTATTCACGATCTTCAACATCGGTTCCGAGCTTTTCGTAGCTAGATAATGTGATGCCTAGATATTTAAACTCCATCACTTGTTCTATTATCTGACCTTTCAGCTTCAATTTACATCTTAGTAAATTTGCTGTTGTAACCATGCAGTTTTTCTTTTTTGGGGAAATTAACATATTAAATTTTCTGGCGGTTATATTAAATTGGTGTAGCATACGTTATAAATCATCTTCACTTTGAGAGAGTAGTATTGCATCGTCTGCGTAGCAGATTATTTTAAGTTGTTTTTCTCCCATTTGGTGTCCTTTTTTAGTTCTTACTTTTTTTGTTTCATCCATAATCAGGTTGAACAATAGAGGACCTAGGGAATCCGTCTTACCCCATTTCCAGCTTCAATAGGGTCGGTTAGTTCTTCTTCTACTTTTACTTTTATTGTGTTGTTTTAGTAGATATTTTCGATCGTTTTGATTATTAGTAGAGGTATCTCTCTTGCATTCAGTAAGTGGATAAAGTCTTTTAATTTTACCCGGTCAAATGCTTTTGTAAGGTCCACGAAACATAGATATGCCGGTTTGTTGTATTCTAATGATTTTTTTGGCACTTGCCTCATTACAAATATAGCGTCGTTGCATGAATTCCCGACCTAAACGCTTATTGTTCTTCTGCTATTGTTATAATTTCATTCAATATATTTGTTATCACTTTAATTGTTAATTTTAGTGTTGTGTTTAATAAATTAATTCGTCTGTAATTTTCCGGATCCGATTTTTCTCCCTTTTTGAAAAGAGGTATTAGCATGCTTGATCTCCATTCTTGAAGAATTCTGTTTTGTTCTAATATTTTTTGGATTAGTTTTAATAGTTGTTTGGTCAGAAATGGTCCTTCGTGCTTTAGGAGTTCGTTTCTCTTTTACCTCTTCCTCCTCAATATTCATTTCTTTGTTTGTCGTCACCTCTGGTGTTGGTGGTACATCATTATTTTTTTGATTAGTTTTAATAGTTGTTTGGTCAGATCTGGTCTTCCGTGCTTTAGGAGTTCGTTCGGTATTCTGTCCTTCGTTTGTCGTCACCTCTGGTGTTGGTGGTACATCATTGTCACCTTTAGCAAATCTGGATCGAAAGTAGTCTACCCATGTTTCCGTTTGAATGTGTTTCGTTTTTATTACTTCGTTCATCTCGTTTTTTTTGTCCTCTGATCATTCTCCATATTTCTTTTGTATTCCGTAGAGCGTGTTTCATCTGTTTTGAGAAACTCTGCCAGTATTCCTTTTTTATTTGTTTAACTAAAGTATTCGTTTTATTTCTCATTCGTTTATAGTGGTTGTATGCCTATTGTGTTTACATTTTGTCTTCACTTCCTCTCTAAACCATGGTGTTTTCTTTTTTGATATGTTAGTGTTCGTTACTTTCCTCTCTCCAAGTGATTATGTTGCTGCGTTAATTATGTTATTTTTGGGGTTTTCCCAGCTTTCCTCGATGTGAGGAAGTCGGAGTCGATTTGTAATATTTCATTCCCAGCGATGTTCTCCGATATTCTTTTCCTGTATAAGTATTCCGTGTTTAGTCCTTCTACTTTGATTTTTGTTTGTGGCTATGGTCGCTACCTACATCTGCTGAGTTGAGGCATCTTACGTGGATTATTTTGATGGATGTATGTATCTGTTGGTTATAACATAATCTGTCGTAGATCTTTGTCCACGGGTATTATTAAATGTATATTTGTGTTGGTCTTTGTGGTCAAAAAATGTGTTGTTTATTCTTAGTTCGAAGTTGATCATCAGTTCTCCATTTTCGTTTTTAACATTCTTGTTATGTTTTCGTTTAATGCCGGGTATTACTTGGTTGCCTATTCGAGCGTTAAAAGCCCCAATATTATCATCTTTCCTCTGACTTGATCTACTACTTGTTGTAATTGGTCGTAAAACGCTTCCCTTATTGTTTGAGGCTTGTTATTTTTTGGGCCGTATACTCCGATGATGTTCAGGTCTTCCTTCTCCATTCTTATTTCTGCAGTTACTATTCTTTCTGATATGTATTTGACACTATTTGATATGATTTTGGTACTTTTGGTGTAATATTAAGGCTACACCTTCTTTGGCTGTGTTTTCTTTTGCTACTCCACTGTAGATTTTTTTGATGAATTTTCATAGATGACTAATAAAATTGTTTCTTTTAGATCGAGGACCCTGTCGTTGAACAGCACACCAAAGGATGCGGGGGTTACGTTCTAATCTCAGCCGACTTCAACGGATGCATCAAAGTATTCGTGAACAAAATGAAGCCTAAACACAGCTCGCTGCCGGTATCCGCAATGGCGTAATCCGACTACTACCAAATTATTTTCATGAATACTGAAAAGCAACAGATTGACGTATTTTAGACATAAATCAAAAAGACAAGTATATTAAGAGAGAGAAAGTTAATCTTGTTGCTGTCTGGATTCGTGAAGTCTTGATTTTACTTTGTGGCCATAATATACTTTTTATTCCTTTATTGTGTATATATTTAATTGTTATTGTTTATACAACTGACAGTCATTGATTTTTAAAGCTTCTTCTCTTTGCAGTGCAGAACATAGTGAAGGGATCTCAAAATTTACCTTAATGCTTTATTTAACGGAGGATTTAGATTGTTCAAATATTGTAATTATTTTTATTTTCAAAAAATATATCTACTCTATTATAATAGGGTGTCGCAGGTACAAAACAATAAACTCTTTTTCTGCAGTATAGTAAACAGTTATAGAACGGGGATTGTGACGGGTAGCTCTTTCGAGGCGACAGACTCAGTAAAACACAGGTTGAAATAAAAATAAATTTATTAATTTTAACGTATATACAACAAATAAAAATCAACTTTGATGGTACACAAGACAAATATCGAACACAGTAGTTAATCAAATCTTGCCCAAGTACTTTCGATCACAAGATCATCCTCAGGGACATTCGTCAGTTGTGGCCTATCCAGCAGTAATAGAATGTTATAAATGTAAATTGGACATAACAAATACACTAAACAAAGACAAACAAACACTTTAAAATTTAAGAAATGGTGCATTCCTACAGCACTCCCGCCTGTAGGCACCTCAGTGTTTTTGCCACCACCTCCCCTTTTACAGATCTGTTAGAATCAGCCTATTTTCCAGCATTGTTTTCTTTGCAGTGAATCAGTATTTTTTTGTGCAGAATTCCGTTGGAATTTTCGAATTCAAATTTGCAGTAGATTACTGAACCAAATGCAAAAAGTAAAAGTGTAAATTTTGAGACCCACTATTTTCATTTAGAGAATAAAACTAATAAGTGAGTAAAAGATTGTTATATTTTGTAATATATTTTGATCTAATAGATAATTTTAAACAAGCTGGGTATATCAAACCAAAAAAACTTATTAACTATATATTTTAGGAAGTTTTTCTAATAAACTAATAATTCATCGAAAACTATTCGGTGAATATCGAAACTATATGATATAAACTATATGACTAAGTTTGTGGTGTGACTTCGCCGTTTTCATTACTTTTCTCCATTCTTCTTTTCCCTGTAGTTGATTGTTCTTCCTATATTTGTTATTTCCATACTCCTTAAGTTTTCTTCCACTTGTCTCCATCTCAGTTTATGCCTGCCTCTAGTTATTTTACCTGGTTGTGTCCATTCCGTTATAACTCTTAATGGATTGCTCTTCTCTCTTCTCATTATGTCTCCATACCATCTAAGTCTCTGTACTTTTATTGCTATCTGTTCTCTTAACTCATCCATTCTTTTATGTTGTGATTCATCCATTGTCTTGCATCTTCTTGGTTTTCCCTCTTTATAAGTTCTGCACATATTCTGTCGTCTCTTGCGTTTTCCCGTTTTTTTTAGTTAGCATATTTTTTCTTTCATTTCTTTATAGGTCAATTCTTCTTCATAATCTTACGTGTTTATTATTGTTTCTCTTTCTTCTTCTGTATCTGTTTGTTGATATATTTCTTCGAAATACTTCTGCCACTTTTCTACTTCTATAGCTCCATTAGTTGTCCGTCTTCAGTTACCTAGTTTTAAATATTGGTACAATTGGGTCTTTTATTTTCTGTTTCTATGTCGTTCATATTTTTTTTTACTTTTTTATGTTTCTTGGATTTAATTAATTTTTTTTTACTTTTTCCTTTGACTTTTGTATTTTTGTCGTTTTTCTTCTTTGCTTGTGCTTAACCATTTCAATCTTGTTTTATTCTTTTCCTCCACTGCTAGTTTGCACTCATCGTCAAACCAATTATTTCTTCTTTTGTTGTGCATTTTGCTACTAACCACTTTCTCTGCTGCTCTATTCCTTGTTTGAATTTTTCAATTGTTCTTCCATTGGTTGTTTCTTAAACTGTATCTCTGCATTTATTTCTTTACAAGTCTTGTTTACTTTTTCCTCTTCCAATTTATCTACTTCCTATCTTCTCTGTACTTTTTATCTTTCATTCTTCGTTGATTTCGTTTTACATTTTGTAATCACTAGCATATGGTCCAAATCGATGTTGGCAACTCTGTGAGATCTAACGTCGTTTATTGATTGCTTGTATGTTTATTTAATCAGTATATGGTCTATTTGATTCCCCTCCAGGCTTCCTGGTCTCATCCATGTCATTTTGTGTATGTTTTTGTGTTTATATCTCGTGCTACTGATGTTCATGTTTAATGCCGCTGCTAACTTTCTTCCTTTCTTCATTATTGTTTGTTGTGTTATATATTGAGTTTTTTCCCTGCAACCTCTCTGAAAATTTTCTTTGCCTGTTTGGGCGTTGGAATCTTTATCACCATAAAAGCCGTTCCCCCACATTTCTGTTTCTCTTCGCCTGCTTACCATACTGTATAATTTTTCTTTTTGATTTTTACATGTTGCCCGATCTGGTTTCCTGAATTACTGCAGAATCTTTTTGTATTGGTTTAACTTTGTCGTTACTACTTCAATTTTTCCTGCTTTGCCTTCCAACGAAATAGAATGGATAATCTTAGTACCTGCCCCCAAAAACACGACGTTCTCAAATCCTGTCATGAACCCCCTTCCTGTAGTTATTTAGGCTATTTAAAACTTTATTCCGGGTCAAAGAGAGATTTTACTGACCAAAGATAAGGAGAGACGTCCTCAAATACATTCGTTCTTGCCAACTTTGTGGAGCTCAGAAAGCTCAAATGTTCCTCAAATGGGCTTAATGGGAAATCAGAAGAAAGCCGAGTTCCCGTGGCAAATAATTGCAATTGATCTTATCGGTCCCCTAACGCGCAGTAAAAAAGGTTTTTCTTGGTTACTCATCGTGACTGACTGGTTCTTTAAATACACTTTAATACAACCCTTACATATAGCTGTTGTGAACAGGCATGACAAATCGGTCGTTGCTTATGGGTTATTTTTAAGGCATCTAGCAAAATATGTAGGCATGGGTGGCGTGAAGTGAAAGTAATTTTCTAAGAGGAATAATTAAGGAAATTTTAAACATGCTTCAATATCAGATACATATTTTAGAGGTTTCACAGATATAGCTTCTGGAGGGAGTGACTTGTTATTTTTGATATTTCAGCATTATGTTCTGGAGTTATTAATGGTTCATTTTAATTTTTATTTGATCATACTAACCGTTTGTGAAATGTATCATTCCATTTTGTTGATGAGTTGTTATAAGATAATTTTCACTAACGTTTACTAAATAGGTCAATTATTGTTGAATATCATGCCCATTTACTTTTAAATCGTTTTGTAGTTTTTCAGTTTGTTGATTTAGCATACACATATTATGACAGACGCTTCATAATAATTATGGATGCTCCATAATAATTGGCTTCATAGATGGAATCTGAAACATTTATTCAAGTGCTTGAAATAAAGAGAAACGACATTAAGTAATTTGTTAAATACCACTTAATACTATAAAAAAACAATCGAATCGACATATAAAAGAAATGAATATTCTTTATTATGTCTGTAATATAATGTAATATAAATGTAATAGGTAAAAATGTTAAAGAAGCTTTAAAAATTATTTCAAAAATATTAAATCAGGTGTTGTTCATTGAATACAATTAATGTATTGTTTATAACTTAGTGTGGTGCTTTAAGACGCATTTGATTGTTTTTTAATAGTCTGGCAACATGTGCTGTCCTCTATCTACTTTGAGTTTCGTCTCTCTATTCTCTTGATCGCGTTTTCTTCCCATCCCTCTACAATTGTATATTAACACTTTGACTGTCATGAGAAGCATGCTGTGATGCACGGCCAATTTGATTCTGTTGCCGCGAGAATCAGCTTTTGATTCCCGCTTGTATGTTATTTATATGGGATAGAAATATGTCCGGCTGGAAGGACCCTCTTTTTTCACTATGTCGGCAGTCTAAGTGTTAAAGCGATTAAACTACCATTTTCTTGATTTGTCGTTCTTGTTATCAATTTTTTTGTATTAAGTTATAGTTTATCTGTTATAGACACATTACTCCCTCTTTCTAAAAATATATAAGTATACGTCTATTAACAACTTGCGATGAAATATTTTGCTAATATTTCATCGTCATAAAATGACAACGCCGTCTGGTTTTAACTTATGGATGAGTTTTGGAATGTGGTGTCAGTCTTTTCTGTTGAAATTGTTATTCTAGTATTCTAGTTAAAACACTAATTTAAAAACCATATGATCACAGTTCGTAGTGTAAGCGTTTCCCTTGTGGAACGATAAATGATGGTTAAATTTGTGATGTTAATCTTTTTGTTTATTCTGCTGAAAAGGTAAATGATCTATACACACTTACTACTACAGTACTTGACAATGCATAAAAAAATTTTTTGTTGTTTTATTTCAAAAGTAATTTTAACAGTATTTCTTTTCCGGTGTTGTTTTAAAGTTCCAATTCGTCGCTTTTCTGGCTTAGTCGTTCAGTGATGGTAATCATTTCGTCTTCATTCGCTGCTGTATAAGTATGTCATCTGTGTATCGCAGGTTGCTGATTTTTCTGCCTCCTATAGTGATTCCTTCATCCCATTCGTCTTCTACTTTTCTCATTACATATTCAGAATATATATTGTATAATACTGGTGATAGTATACACTCCTGTTTAGTTCCTTTCTTTTATTTGAACGCATCTGAATATATTCCGTGTATTTTAACTTTGGCTCAGTTTTTATCATACAGATTTCATATGCATATTTCTTGATTTTTTTCTGTGATGATGTTCCCCTGTTGATTTTGCAGTTTGCTAGCTGTGTTGGATTTTTGAAGACCAGCTGCTTGTTTTACCTTTTTATGTATATTAAATGTATCGTGTTCTTGTTCCGACAACTCTATCTCTTCACACTGTGTTTTCAACCAATTTTCTGTCTTTTCGTATTTCGGTTCTTATTTGTGTCTGAATGTTTTGTTACGTTCTTTTGTTATTCTTTGATTTTCTTATTTCTTCCATGAGTTGCAGTATATTGTCGTTCATCCAACTTTTCCTCTTCTCTTTGTTTTCTATTAG